TTTTGCAGCCTTTCAAACAAATAAGCTCGCTTTGATTTAAATAACATTTATTTTACATGACCAAACACAATAAATAACGTAATATACAAAGCTTTATAATTATTGCACATTTGTAAAATATTTTACAGTGAGTTCATACAGCCAGCAATATTTAAAGCACAAAGACTTTATTTACAGATTCATACAATAACCAGGTCCAAGGGACCTAACATAAAACGAATTTATGTTAATTTTACCAACCAGCATCCTTATCGATCATTTGATAGACATCTGTCTATCTATCCGTATTTTGGAAAAATGTAAACATTTATTGCCAAAATATTCGTACCTACCATCCAATATGTGTGATCATAACAAATGAATCCAACAATCGAAAAGGTAAAGCTGGTAATAGAGTGCCATGTTTTGGTCTATTTTATTTAGCTTTAAATTATATATTAATAAAAAATTTAAATGTAAACTCAGTGAACAACAGCTGGTATAATCAATTTTTACATAAGTAGTCTTGCTATTTATTTTACAAAATGAAAAAAATTACGCATTAGGTATTTCCTATTTTAGTTTAACGTCCTCTAAGCATTAAATGAACATATCTCGTCAGGAATCCACCCCAAGAGTCTTGGGATATTTTCTCTCATACCCTCCCTCCCGCCGAAGAAATCTGTCCCATCTGACAAAAATCTACTATTTATGTTCACTGAACAAAACAGGATAGCCTTCGAAATAATTTCCTTAAAGTCCATTATTGGTATATGAAAAAAAATCCAGTGTCTTAAAAATAGAAGTATTTCAGGACACTTATTTGAAATATATAATAGAGAAAAGTGTGTGTGTGTGTGTGTGTGTGTGTGTACACACGGGGCCTAAACAAGCAATAGCAAGTTAGATGAAGGCTTCAACTCTTCAGAAAAATCTCATTATGTGACGAGAGAAGTGGCTCTGTAGGGAGTATTATGGAAATATCTGGGTTTGATTTAATGAGGCTCTTCACATTGGTGGAATATCAACTTAACAGAGAAAAGTCTACCCGGGGCGCCCAAGTTACCAAAATGAAAATTGGCAATTGAGATGATAAGAACGTGGCTTTCTTGTACGAAATCACTTCAGGTAACAGATATAACATTAAATAACATACATTCTATGTACCAAGAACAATGTTTTATGTACCAAGTCTCTTATCTGTCTCTTCTAATGACTTCCCTTAGCGGGTTGTTAGTACTTGACAGCAGGTCTCTGCGCGGGGAACTTTTTTCCAATTCCACATTCAAAGGAGGTCCATCAGAGAACATGATTGGCAATTTTCGTCATAATCTGCACATTATTAGCATCAGAATCGACATGGCAGTAACACTGGTGGTTTTTGATGTGCCTTTCTTCAAGTTCAAGGAAGTCCCTCCAGTAGCAGTGGCTTGGTATGGCAGGTCTCAGTTATCCAGTGGTGGCTTTTCAGAGGCAAAGGCGTGATAGACATGTATGGGAAATAAATCCAAGAGCCGTTTTACCAAAGAAAAGAAACAGAAAAACATTAAACTGAGAGAAGTACCTAAGGTCAATGCTTCAGGACAGCATCCTATACCTAGAGAGATTCAAGTATTTCCCAGATCGGGTGGATTATGGTAGTTGGAAAGCATGAGTTTAAAACTGCCTCTCCGACTCCTATAGAGCATCCTGTCAATCTCACACTTCCCTTCCCTTTACCGGCCCATCCACGGCAGCCTCATTAGCTACCGCTCTTTCTGCACAGAACATACGCGAGGCATTTCCAATTGATTCGAACTAAAACGAAATCAGAATACCACAGAAACACTTTCCTCTTCCGTTGACACCCCTCCTCTCCCCCTTCTGTCCCATTTCCAGACGGACGTGGCTGCAGGCTTCACTCAGTCCCTAGGCCAAATTCCCCTTGCACAGGGGGTGAGGTTTGGCTCAGGACCGACTGAGGGCGGCGGGGGTTGGGCCCAGCAAGGAGAACAGAAGCTTTGCACCCAGTGACACCCGTGCAATTCTCCCGGGGCGTGGCGCCCAGGGCAGCCCTTGGCCCCTGCGCTGCGCTGTCCTGCAAACCCCGCCCCTGGGGCCTGCAGGCATCCCGCGCTGGGCCCCGGGGGCTGCGGGAGGAGTGCAGGGGGATGTCAGTTCGGGTCCCAGCCCCCTCCCCCGGCTCGTGTCTCCTCCAAAGGGGGCGGGGGGGTGAACGATACAAAAATAGAAGGAACTTTTCCAGAGCCCGGCTGTGGTCCCCCCTCCCCTGCCCCTTACAAAGGGGTCGCCCCCGGCTGCGGGCGGGGTAGTTATCTGGTGAGCGGCGCCTCCTCCCGCTGGTCCGGGGAGGCGCCCGCGGTTTTGCTCAGCACGGCCGCCGAGTAGGGCAGGAAGCCGCTCTCCGCCCGCTGCGAGGCCGCCGTGCAGGGGAAATCCGAGCCGGAGCCGCGCGAGCCCAGCGCCGCGGCCGCCGCCGCCGTCTGGCTGCTGTGACAGCTGAGGCAGGAGCAGGCCGTGGAGCCGGCGGGGGGCGCCGAAGAAGCCGCGGCCGCCGCGGCCGCCGCCGCCACCGCCGCGCTGCTGTTGAGCCCGGCCGCGGCGGCGGGGGCCTGGTAGAGGCCCGGGTGGCGGAAGCCGCAGAGCAGCTCCGGGCGGGAGTAGGGGTGCGAGAGGGCGCGGAAGGTGTCCAGCGGCCGGATGGAGGTGGCGAAGGGCGAGGCGGCGGCCGCTCCGGAGGCGGCCGCAGCCGCCGCGGCCGCCGTCACCCCCACGTGGGGATAGTAGTGCAGCGGCACGTGCGAGTGGAAGGGGTAGGGCAGGCTCCCCGTGGCCGCCGCGTGAGTCATCATGTAGGTGTAGAAGCTGGGGTCAGCCGGATGGGGCCAGGACATGGCCAGGCGCTGCCGCTTGTCCTTCATCCGTCTGTTCTGGAACCACACCTGGGGGGTGGGGAGACACAAAACACAGGCCGGCCTTAGAAAGCAGCGCAGCAGCGGCTCCGGACACAAACCAAACCCCCACCCAGCTCCCGCCAAAGGCAGCAGTACCTCCCGAGCAGGGCACGGCTGTACCGGGCACGCTCCCCTCTCCGCTCCCGCCCCCGCTGCTTAGCCTGGCTGTGATTTATTTATTAATTATCCTCCTGGTTTACCACCTAAAAACCTTCCTCCAAATTCGCGCACGCACAAAACCCGCTGACATCAGAGACGGTTAAGGCTGTCAGGAATTAAAAATGAAAGTGGCTCCTTTGAAGGAACCCCGCTGCTTTTATTGGGAAGCTTTTCTGTTTGCTTTTTGTTAATTGCACGGTGTTTGCACACGGCAAAATATTGTTGCGTTTTGTTTTTAAAAGCAGCCATACAAACGACATTCCGAGTTGCAAACACTGCAGCCTTGCTTCTGCCCTGTAACAATGGGCATTTGCATCTGCCTTCCGCGTTAGCATCCTTGCTTTCTATTATTTTCTAAAGCTACTTGCAGGAAATGAACATGCCAAAAATACAGATCTTTCTGAAGCATGAAGGAGAGCGTCTAAGATTCGCCCTCTGTAACGGAGCAGCTTGTTTTCTTGTCTCAAGCTTTTTAGTTCCACACTGCCTCTTTTTAATGTCATATAATTAGCCAAATTATTTAAAATAATCCAACGAAAAGAGATTTTACCCGAATAAATCACTGAAATGCTTTGTGTCAGTCAGACTCTAAATCCATTTTAAATAATACAGCATTTGTCTTTCAAGTGATTTTGTCCGAAATGGGAGAAATATAATTTTATTATACTGACGGTCCAATTCCTCTGCTTCATTTTTTAAAAATATCATCGTTTGTTTCCCTTTTAACGTGCAAGTGCAATACAAATTGACAAGGAAAATTAAAAGGCAAATAAAAAAAGTTTCAACTCAGAGAAACAAACAAACCCAACAGGAAAGACAAGACCGGATGTTCTTTAACCAAAAGTCACAGATAAAAATAGCTAAGAAACCAGGTGGGAATTACGCAACACTATTTATTTTTATGTTCTATTGTTATGTTATCATTGGATTTATTCTTTTGCCATAAAGGAGGAGGGCACAAGCCACTGCATTTTCCTGTCTGTAAGAAGCATCTATTTAGCCGGGAATTGGGCTCGATCTCATATTTTAAGCTCCCAGACAGCACAAAAGCACCAAAATCCACATCGAGTGTACTAGCCCCGCGTTTGTAGCGCTTCAGCTGAGATACCTTGATGGTGGTCTCAGGGAGGTTGAGCGCTGCGGCCAGTTCGCACCTCCTGGGCCGAGACACATAGTTCTCCCGGTAGAACTCCTTCTCTAGCCTGGCTATCTGCTCCCTGGTGAAGGCGGTGCGGTACCTTCTCACCTGGTCAGCCCCAGAGCCGGAGCTGCCCAGTGCGTTGCTGCTGTGCAGGCTGGTTAAACTCGAACCTGAGGACGAGGTGGTGGTAGTAGGAGCTGAGTTGCTTTCTGAATAGCCTGGCAAACAAGCAAGCAAATTGTGAAATAAAGATTGTTCCTCTAGATGTGTTTGTGTGTATTAAATAAAGCAGGAGGTAACGTTACCAGTCTGGCTGTGAACTCTGATAATTAATGCTAGCTGTCATTGTTACAAATTGCTGCTGTTAATAGAATCAATAAAGTTTTTTTAAATCACTTCATAACGAAATTATTCTAAGTAAATTAGGCATTTTAGTAATTATAGAATTCTAGCTTCTGCAGCAAATTAGCCAAGTAAGAGTGCATATGCAGAGCACAATTTTAGAGATGTGGTACCGCTCTCATACTGCGATGATCTGATAACTCTAATCTATGAATCAGGTTTAACAGCTACATGAACGTTTCTTATTTTCGTTTGAGAGGCACAAAATAAGTGCAGCCATAAACAAAGATATGTCTTGCATTATGGTGTAGATTGCTTTTCTTTTGACACATTTGACAAAATGCATCTACTGTTGCCCCAAAGAAATCCATTGATTATTCTCTTATTACACTCCCCAATGCAAATAATTCACCAAATTTATTTCAGACCTGGTACGATGGAGGGATTTTAATAGTCAGCGTTATCAGAGATTGAAAGTGAACAATGGCCAATTATTATTAGTGTGAATACACAATGACACATTTTATACGTACAAAGAAAGACAAATACACACACATATACATAGATATATAGATACGTAGATAGTTTCTACGTATCTATATACTCAATTTACTCCATGTATGTATATTTGTATAGATGGAGAAATACTGACAGATCTACAGAACGAGAAAAACTATATAAATACACATATATCGTTATAGATATGGGAGAAAGAGAGCGATTTCCATGAATATATAGAGACACTTTGCTATATAAACACTGCTTAGCGTATCTGGTGTATCGTGATAACACATTAATAATAATTGTGTGCGATTTTAGCAGTGGCTTTACTATATAGAGAGCACTGTTTCCATAGGCTAACAAGTTTAATCAAAGAACAGGACCGTTGAGCTCGAGAGGATAAAATAATATTTACCTTTGTTATTGTTTTCCTTCAGCTGGGAGGAACTCAGGCTAGTTGGGGAGCGGAGTGCTGAGCAGCCCACCTCCACATCACTGTTCATATCTGCCTCCTGAGCAACTTCTGAATAATGGCTAATTTTCTTCCTGCTTTCCGGCGGAGCAATTTCTGAGGAGACGTTGCTTTCGCTGTTCTGGTGTTGAAGATTGAATAAAGTGTCTATTTCAAATTTGCCTTTGGCCGGGATGTCCCCTATAGTGCTATGCAGAGAGGCGGAAGTTAGTCTAGGGCTGAGGCGACCAGTGTGTTGAGAATTTTCAAGGGCCTCCAGCACTGCATTTCCAGCTGAGTCTGACAAATTCGAGAGCCTTTTGCCAGCTGTAGGGCTGTGCAGCCCTCTTTCCATCAGTATCATCTCCTTCCTGATTCTGTCCATCATCTCAGCTTTATCAAAAATGTCAAAGTTGCAGGGCTGGTCCTGTACTAATGATGAGCTGCAGCAGGGGCTAATTCACATGCAGCCCGGCAAGTGTCTCTAAATATTATTATCCCTTTTTGAGGGAGGCGTAAAAATTGTGGGATGCCAAAGCGAGGGAATGACTGGTCAAAATGACCCATACATCCTTTCTAGCCCGAAATGTCATTCATCAAAAAGTAGTGCTCGTCATTAAGGTAGGAATGACGCTGTTCGAATAATCATTTATTGTAACAGGTTTATAAGCAAATAAACACAAGCTTCTGTCAGTGGATAATGAAGGCGGCTTCTGAGCAGACAAATATATCCAGGTAGAAAGAAAGAAAGACAAGAAGTGAAGAGTAAAGCTCTTGTCCTTAGCGTGATCAGATCTTGCTTGAATTGCTCTGGGGTTTGGCCTCTGGGGTGAAATTGACAGTCTGATTAATAAAATGAGCTGTGCAACATTTCCCCCTTCATTTAGGTGCATCATTATGCTCTGATTTTTGTTTTGTTGCCTTTTAGGTCCTAATGATGCAGCTTCTTTCTCATTTGTCCTCGGACAGAACTACATGCTAAATAATAGATAATGCTTTATGTATCTAAGAGCGGATTTTAAGATCGCAACTAAAGGAAATGTTGGAAGAGGACCTGCGGACTGAGACTACCCTTCCACTGTATTTTATTTACTTTTCTTTTTCAGTTAAGAATGCACTCGTACTTTTATTTAAGAATTTTACTAGCACACACCCCAACCATCCCCATACACACAAACCTTATACTGAGACTTTTAAAAACTATTGCTGCTGGTACATAACAGTTTAAGTGCATCTACCACAGCAGCCTGCACATGGATTTATTGTAATCCTGGGGGGTTTTTTAGTATATTTTTCTCGTTGCATCCTTAAATATGGTGCCCTTTTTACTTTCTATAATCTTGTTTATTGTCGGAGCTAGTCTACGATTTTTTTCCTCTCTTGGGAAAATATTCTCTGTTGTGCAATTTGATGGCAAACAATGTCCAAATAACGTTAAATGCATTCATGATTTAAAGCACCATACTGCAGCACTGTCATTTCATTCTCTAGACAGGTTTCTTTTTACACCCTCCCCACGAAAAGCGAAGCATTTTTACAAATATATAGGTATAATGACTTGATTTTAGTATTTCAAAGGCATCAGATAGTAGTAAAGACATGCTCCTCATCATCATTCTTTCTCCAAGGTTACCTGTGGCTTAGTTAGCTGAGCTATCCGTTGTTTTCCGGGCTGATCCGGAGTAAAATGTCTTGTGCTGTAAAGGACACGGACTAGCAAGCTTAGTAGACGTGACTATCGGAAAATCTCTCCTCAGTGATAACTTTGATAGTAATAATGAAGCTGATGGCAACCATTTAAACGAAGATAAATCCTTTGTCATTAGCATCTCTGGAGTACTCTTCAATAGCTATCCAATCTCTACTTTCTGAGAGATTTTTTTTCTACCCACATAGTAAAGTTTTAGATCCTGAGTTTCTGAGTTTGATCAGGTATAGAAATATTCCAACGTTTCCTGTGATTACATAGGATTTATTTTATTTTTTTTGCCAAGAGAAGCTCTTCCTTGTAATGTTAAAGTCACATCTCCTAAATTCCTATGCTCTTGCCTATGATTCGTACGTCGAAAACGGGATTCTTGTCGGCTTTTTAAGAACGTATTAAAAGTCTCCCTAAACATTCCATGAAATATTTAGGAAACCATTCTACGCATTGTTGATAAAATCCAGCATTCTATTAATGGGAGTTTTATGTCAGCTCTTTGAAATGTGAATTTAGCTGCAGTTTGGTGTCCTATGTTTTACAGCCCCAAACCAGACAGAAGTAAATATCAACTTTCACTAACCGCAGGGAGCTTTGAGCAGTGTGCGTAATTTAAACACGAAAAACCTATATTTTAATAGAAGGAATGTAAACGTCAAAGCCCTATATATTGCCAACACAATCCAAGCGTACGCTTTCTGAAGCTATATTTCTCCATAAATAATTTTAAACCCGTAAGAGATGGTGATATAGTTGCCTTTCTTACCCCAATATAAGTGGTGACAAAGCGGTATCTTCTGTTTTATCAGGAGAGAGCACAATTTCCTACACCGATATTTACTGAAAAGATACAGTTGTCTGACAGTCTCCATAGGCTATCCTGTTATTAAAATGTTATAAGGATAGCAGTTCCCTGAGATTAAACAATTCTGAACAGGAGAGTGACGATGTACATATTGGGCTCTGTTTGTAGGTACTGTAAACACTGCCTAACTTTAATTCAAAAACTTCTCTATTATTGACTATAGATGGGTAATCCAGACTGTAACCAAACTTTCCATCGGAAAAGGTACTGGTCCCAGTTAAATACAAACTTGTGTTTTACCAGTTGAAATAATTATTATGCAAAATACCCCTCCTAAATATAGAGCTGAAAGCCGATTTCGTCCAGATTGATTAGTGCGTTACTAGTTATAGGAGGGGAAACGGAAGTCTGTGGGTTGCTTTATTGCTGTCGTTTGGCGCCCCCGTCTGTTTTCTTAAATACTTTAACTGGGTTAGTATCTTTCCCCCCCTTTTTTGAAAACCACAGCTAGACACCACATCTCCAACACACATCTGAACACTACCAAATCCAATAGAGCTTTATATTCCAAAAATGTTACTGCACCACTAAAAAGAAAATGACTGTTTTATGATATATTGCAGGTGAAATAGGCTACAACAAAACTCCCAATGTGAAAAATATGTTATACACAAGGTCGACTGTGCATTACCTTAATTAATGTTTTGTTACATTGTGCACCTTTTAAATAATACTAATACTTCAGTTTATGAATAATGTGTTTCAAAATGTAGCTACATTCGCATGGTGGGCAAATTACATGCCATAAAGACGGTAATAATTCTCTCTTAAATAAATATTAAGTAACATAAACAATCAGCACAATACAATTAATCATTCCTCTCAAGAATGGATATCCACTAATAAACTAATTGTTTGATATTTATATTCTTAGAAAACTAGATTGATATATTTTTATAAATGTTTTTAGTTTTTCTTTTAATAATGAGTGCAGTCTAGAAAACTTTCAACACATATTTAAAGGGTTATATCAGCAAGCAAATGTAAAGGAAGTGATATAGACCGATGAAAATAGATGAGTTTTTGCTACCCTCTGTTTACTCAGTTGTTCTTATAAGCTATAAATAGCTGCCTAGGCCTACAGCCAAAGGATTTTATTTTATCTTGAGAGTTGTTACTTATGATATCAAATAATATTTTGATCGTCTGTTAAATCTTCACTGAAAAAGAAATTCATATTAGATCGACTGAAATCTCAACCAGTTTTTAACTAGTTTTAAGGTGTTCTTGGGAACACTGGCTAAAATATTTGTTTTTTTTCTTAACTTTGGGTGTTCAGAGGTAAATTGTAAAACATTATTATTATTACAGGTAACATACAAGGTATAGATGCACTATTTCAGGTGGGAGCTCGCAAAAAACTTCTGGTTGCATATGTCTATATTGTCCCTCAAATAACTAAAGGCCCGGTGTTGCAGTTGATTTCACCCAGGCATCTATAGGAGGACGCAGGCTCAAGTAGATAGTGATCCATGAGCTTTGCCCAATTGTTATGAAAAGTGGTGAAAAAAGAGAATTTTCATGTGTAGGTGAAATAGTCTGATGAGATCTATCGTTATTATACAATGTCGCTTTGCCCTTGACTTGATTACTCACAAAATGAAACTAGCGCCTATGTTTGCTTTATTTACTTATAGTTCTATAGCGAATTATAGGAAGGCTTGTTTTATGAAGGAAAAATACAAGCTGAGACTTATTGCACTAAGGCAATTATACCTGAAAGTTTGTGCTAAGACAACAGGTTCACTTTCTGTAGGAACCCTCTTCCCTCTTTTGTAGTATATAGAGATATAGATATAGATATAGATATAGATATAGATACTAACGCAGGTATTTCACTCTTGCAAGCTAGAAAGTCCAATTCTATTATTCAAGGAAACAATACAGTTCAAACTTACATTATTAATCTGCACTCTGAGCCTCCACAGAAAAACGTGTAGAGCCATCTAGTGACACAGCTGGGATCCTACATCGTACGATATAATCATGGGAAATGCTGAATGATGCAACTTGAGAGAATGTCTCTCTCTGCTTACACCTCAAACTCTGCAAAAACTGGGAGCCATTTAATATTGTTGCTGAAGACTTGCTGCTGTGTACAGCAGCTGCCTGGAGTTTTACTGGAGACATCCGTGCTTTCTATGAGCCCATATCCTTCTCCTCTATATAAAGATATAATTAAAGTACAAATATCCTACATACACCTACATATATACACATACTTATATTTATTCTACTTCCTAATGAGAGGTGGACAAAGCTAGAATTATTATTTAGGAGGACTCTAGCATAGTTGTCTAATTACTTGTGCTTTTTAAAATATTTCACTGCCATGGTAAATATACAACTTGATTACAACTCAAAGAAAGCTTTGAGCACCATATATTACAAAGTTAATAACATTGTGTCTTTTTGTGTTAGCTTCACGAATGGGACGTATGATGCTAAGTTCAGCTGATAACATTTTATGTGATGTAAAAGTTATTTCGGTTTAAACCGAACCGTTCCCTGCAGCGACTTGTATGCAACGCCAGCACGAGTTATGATTCTAAATATTGGCTGGGACTTATGAAAGATTTTATACCCGTTTCTGGGGGGAGGGGTGGAAACATGTTAAACACTCACGTTTGCTTAAAAGTCTTCTTGGATTTTGTAGAGGCCACTGTGCAGAGTGATATTTTTCAATGTTCTAAAGCTCAGGGGACTGGACTCGGTGACCTCTCAAGGTCCTTTACAGGCTTACATTACTATGAGTCTATGAAAATGTATCTTTCAAATATCAAAGTCAATTGACTTCCTAAATAAAGTTCTGTGCATCCATAAGACAGATTTGGAAAACATATTTTAACATATATCCTTACACGGCAATTAAGCCTTTTCTTTATTGCAAGTGTTTCAATTTCTACTAGGTCTTTTTGTTGAGTTGGAAGAAAAAGAAACACAGAAAATAAACAATG